CTAAATATATAGCGTTATGTCAAAATACTCATTTATTTAATTTTAAATCAAACAAATGTAATCCTGATAGTATTCCCACTTTTTACAAAATATAGCTGTAATCGGAATACTTTGTTTTTTGATGTAACTGTAACGGATTACAGTTACTAGATTTTTGTATCCTGATTACGTAACGCCGTTACATGTATTCCGTTACTCCCCAACCCTGGTAACCAGTACCGTTGTTATGTACCACAACAATCTTATTGCAAAGGTTTGGGAGAGCTCTTTGCCTCTACCCATCATGAGATGTTTGTATACTTGCATTCAGAGGTGGGTAAGCCTTTTTCTAACCTATCAACATGCACTAACCCAGCTGATTCTAATTTGCACTGGTGAAAGGAAGAACTACTTAGTGAAATCAGCTGCTGTCTTGCCTTGCCTTGTCTTTCCATACTACTTTTTTTTAGCGTGTTCAATACTTTTTTTTCCTGTCATTCCACTTTATTAAACATAACTTTTTTATGGACTGTAATATTATGATTTCTTTTCTGCATAGATTTCTTGTGTTAATAGCAACATAAGGTCACAATTTCATGAAAATTGCTGCATTGGAACTGTGTTTAATTAAAAAAAAAATTTGACATGTTGAATACTTATTTCCCCCAATGTATATATACATATTACACAATTTTAACCATTTTAAAATTCCTTTTATGTGGAATCCCTGATTTACTGGTGGTGGGATCTCATGAAATATGAGGATGATGCAAACCCCTGATGCAAATAAAACAGACTCGCCTTCATATCTAGAATCTTTTGGAACGTCTCAGGATTGCTGTCAGCAAGGAGCTTGATGTAGTTGTCCACAAAGACCACGGACGGCTCGTGAGGGGCCATGACCACCTGAGAGGTGAGGAGAAACAAGTCAGTTAAACTCCAGCTGGGTTCTCCAAACTCTCAAAAATAAAACATTACAACATCAGACCCGCCACTCTGGGAACAGGAGACAAAAAAATACAGTGATCTGACAGATAAAACACCAAACAAAGACAAAAACTTGAAGTGTCTATTTAAGGTGCTCTTTTAACAGCATAATTACTCTATGCTTGAATGAAGCTGAATTAGCCTCACCGGTAATTTTTTGTGGGGTATAATGAGAGCGTCTCAATTGAGCAGTAAAAAGAGGTTAAATGGGGTACAGGCCTGCATTGTGAATCTGTTTCTTTTCCCTCCAAGGTTGGGAGGGAAAAAATGTTTAACTGTATATCTTGCAACTAAGAGGTGCAAAGGTTTGGGAGAGCTCTTTGCCTCTACCCATCATGAGATGTTTGTATACTTGCATTCAGAGGTGGGTAAGCCTTTTTCTAACCTATCAACATGCACTAACCCAGCTGATTCTAATTTGCACTGGTGAAAGGAAGAACTACTTAGTGAAATCAGCTGCTGTCTTGCCTTGCCTTGTCTTTCCATACTACTTTTTTTAGCGTGTTCAATACTTTTTTTTCCTGTCATTCCACTTTATTAAACATAACTTTTTTATGGACTGTAATATTATGATTTCTTTTCTGCATAGATTTCTTGTGTTAATAGCAACATAAGGTCACAATTTCATGAAAATTGCTGCATTGGAACTGTGTTTAATTAAAAAAAAAATTTGACATGTTGAATACTTATTTCCCCCAATGTATATATACATATTACACAATTTTAACCATTTTAAAATTCCTTTTATGTGGAATCCCTGATTTACTGGTGGTGGGATCTCATGAAATATGAGGATGATGCAAACCCCTGATGCAAATAAAACAGACTCGCCTTCATATCTAGAATCTTTTGGAACGTCTCAGGATTGCTGTCAGCAAGGAGCTTGATGTAGTTGTCCACAAAGACCACGGACGGCTCGTGAGGGGCCATGACCACCTGAGAGGTGAGGAGAAACAAGTCAGTTAAACTCCAGCTGGGTTCTCCAAACTCTCAAAAATAAAACATTACAACATCAGACCCGCCACTCTGGGAACAGGAGACAAAAAAATACAGTGATCTGACAGATAAAACACCAAACAAAGACAAAAACTTGAAGTGTCTATTTAAGGTGCTCTTTTAACAGCATAATTACTCTATGCTTGAATGAAGCTGAATTAGCCTCACCGGTAATTTTTTGTGGGGTATAATGAGAGCGTCTCAATTGAGCAGTAAAAAGAGGTTAAATGGGGTACAGGCCTGCATTGTGAATCTGTTTCTTTTCCCTCCAAGGTTGGGAGGGAAAAAATGTTTAACTGTATATCTTGCAACTAAGAGGATTTGTAAGAGGGCAGAAGAACACATGGCTGACAGATACGACAGACAGGCCAAGGAAAAGCCTTGAGGAGGCTTGTTGTAGTTACCGCGTAAAAGAGAAAGAATAGAGAAAACGAGAGGAGGGGGAGAAAGTCTGCCTTTCCGTTCATTTCCAAAAGAGCCACAATGGGGGGGGGGTAGGAGT